GGATGTGCATTGAGGAATACCATTGTATGCAGAGCTTTGGGGGGAAGTTTAGAAAATGAGCAATCGTTTGTAGGGCTTTGGGGGGGGAAGTTTATAAAAAGACTTGCAACCGTGAGAAGAACTCTATGCAAGGGAAGGATGTGCATTGAGGAATACCATTGCATGCAGAGCTTTGGGGGGGGGAAGTTTAGAAAATGACTTGGAATCTTGATAAGAACTCTATGCAAGGGAAGGATGTTCATTGGAAGGACTACCATTGATGCAGACTTTGGGGGGTGAAAGTTTAGAAAAGGACGTCATCGTGACAATAACTCTGTGAAAGGGAAGATGTGCATTGAGACTAACCCATTGCAGCCGAGCTTGGGGGGGGGAAGTTTAAAAATGACTTGCAAATCGTGACAAGACCTTTGAAAGGGAAGGAATGTGCATTGAGGACTACAATTGCAGGCAGAGCTTTGGTGGGGGAAGTTTTAGAAAAATGACTTTGCAATCGTGACAAGAACTCTGTGTAAGGGAAGATATCAATTGAGGACTAAACATTGCAATGCAGAGCGAATTGGGGGGAAGTTTTAGAAAATGACTTGCAATCGTGACAAGAACTCTGTGAAAGGGAAGGATGTGCATTGAGGACTACCATTGCATGCAGGGCTTTGGGGGGGGAAGTTTATAAAAAGACTTGCAATGGTGACAAGAACTCTATGCAAGGGAAGGATGTGCATTGAGGAATACCATTGCATGCAGAGCTTTGGGGGGGGAAGTTTAAAAAAAGACTTGCAACCGTGAGAAGAACTCTATGCAAGGGAAGGATGTGCATTGAGGAATACCATCGTATGCAGAGCTTTGGGGGGGGAAGTTTAGAAAATGACTTGCAATGGTGACAAGAACTCTATGCAAGGGAAGGATGCGCATGCAGAAATACCATTGCATGCAGAGCTTTTCGGGGGGGAAGTTTAGAAAATGACTTGCAACCGTGAGAAGAACTCTATGCAAGGGAAGGATGTGCATTGAGGACTACCATTGCATGCAGAGCTTTGGGGGCGGGGAAGTTTAGAAAATGACTTGCAATCGTGACAAGAACTCTGTGAAAGGGAAGGATGTGCATTGAGGACTACCATTGCATGCAGAGCTTTGGGGGGGGGGAAGTTCAGAAAATGACTTGCAATGGTGACAAGAACTCTATGCAAGGGAAGGATTTGCATTGATGACTACTATTGCATGTAGGGCTTTGGGGGGGGAAGTTTATAAAAAGACTTGCAATGGTGACAAGAACTCTATGCAAGGGAAGGATGTGCATTGAGGAATACCATTGCATGCAGAGCTTTGGGGGGGGGAAGTTTAAAAAAAGACTTGCAACCGTGAGAAGAACTCTATGCAAGGGAAGGATGTGCATTGAGAAATACCATTGCATGCAGAGCTTTTAGGGGGGAAGTTTAGAAAATGACTTGCAATCGTGACAAGAACTCTGTGAAAAGGAAGGATGTGCATTGAGGAATACCATTGTATGCAGAGCTTTGGGGGGGGGGAAGTTTAGAAAATGACTTGCAATGGTGACAAGAATTCTATGAAAGGGAAGGATGTGCATTGAGGAATACCATTGTATGCAGAGCTTTGGGGGGGGAAGTTTATAAAAATGACTTGCAACCGTGACAAGAACTCTATGCAAGGGAAGGATGTGCATTGAGGACTACCATTGCATGCAGAGCTTTGGGGGGGGAAGTTTAGAAAATGACTTGCAATGGTGACAAGAACTCGATGAAAGGGAAGGATGTGCATTGGGAATACCATTGTATGCAGAGCTTGGGGGGGGGAAGTTTAGAAAATGACTTGCAATGGTGACAAGAACTCTATGCAAGGGAAGGATGTGCATTGAGGACTACCATTGCATGCAGAGCTTTGGGGGGGGAAGTTTAGAAAATGACTTGCAAAGGTGACAAGAACTCGATGAAAGGGAAGGATGTGCATTGAGGAATACCATTATATGCAGAGCTTGGGGGGGGAAGTTTAGAAAATGACTTGCAATGGTGACAAGAACTCTATGCAAGGGAAGGATGCGCATTCAGAAATACCATTGCATGCAGAGCTTTCGGGGGGGAAGTTTAGAAAATGACTTGCAATCTTGACAAGAACTCTATGAAAGGGAAGGATGTGCATTGAGGAATACCATTGTATGCAGAGCTTTGGGGGGGGAAGTTTATAAAAATGACTTGCAACCGTGAGAAGAACTCTATGCAAGGGAAGGATGTGCATTGAGGACTACCATTGCATGCAGAGCTTTGGGGGGGAGGGGAAGTTTAGAAAATGACTTGCAATCGTGACAAGAACTCTGTGAAAGGGAAGGATGTGCATTGAGGACTACCATTGCATGCAGAGCTTTGGGGGGGGGAAGTTTAGAAAATGACTTGCAATCGTGACAAGAACTCTGTGAAAGGGAAGGATGTGCATTGAGGAATACCATTGTATGCAGAGCTTTGGGGGGGGGAAGTTTAGAAAATGACTTGCAATCGTGACAAGAACTCTGTGAAAGGGAAGGATGTGCATTGAGGAATACCATTGCATGCAGAGCTTTTTGGGGCGGAAGTTTAGAAAATGACTTGCAATCGTGACAAGAACTCTGTGAAAGGGAAGGTATGCATTGATGACTACTATTGCATGCACATGTAGGGCTTTGGGGGGGAAGTTTATAAAAAGACTTGCAACCGTGAGAAGAACTCTATGCAAGGGAAGGATGTGCATTGAGGAATACCATTGCATGCAGAGCTTTGGGGGGGGGAAGTTTAGAAAATGACTTGCAATCGTGACAAGAACTCTGTGAAAGGGAAGGATGTGCATTGAGGACTACCATTGCATGCAGAGCTTTGGGGGGGGGAAGTTTAGAAAATGACTTGCAATCGTGACAAGAACCCTGTGAAAGGGAAGGATGTGCATTGAGGAATACCATTGCATGCGCAGCTTTGGGGGGGGAAGTTTAGAAAATGACTTGCAAAGGTGACAAGAACTCGATGAAAGGGAAGGATGTGCATTGAGGAATACCATTGTATGCAGAGCTTGGGGGGGGAAGTGTAGAAAATGACTTGCAATGGTGACAAGAACTCTATGCAAGGGAAGGATGCGCATTCAGAAATACCATTGCATGCAGAGCTTTAGGGTGGGAAGTTTAGAAAATGACTTGCAATGGTGACAAGAACTCTATGCAAGGGAAAGATGCGCATTCAGAAATACCATTGCATGCAGAGCTTTTCGGGGGGGAAGTTTAGAAAATGACTTGCAATCTTGACAAGAACTCTGTGAAAGGGAAGGTATGCATTGAGGAATACCATTGTATGCAGAGCTTTGGGGGGGGAAGTTTATAAAAATGACTTGCAACCGTGAGAAGAACTCTATGCAAGGGAAGGATGTGCATTGAGGACTACCATTGCATGCAGAGCTTTGGGGGGGGAAGTTTAGAAAATGACTTGCAATGGTGACAAGAACTCTATGAAAGGGAAGGATGTGCATTGAGGACTACCCTTGCATGCAGAGCTTTGGGGGGGGGGAAGTTTAGAAAATGACTTGCAACCATGAGAAGAACTCTATGCAAGGGAAGGATGTGCATTCAGAAATACCATTGCATGCAGAGCTTTTAGGGGGGGAAGTTTAGAAAATGACTTGCAATCGTGACAAGAACTCTGTGAAAAGGAAGGATGTGCATTGAGGAATACCATTGTATGCAGAGCTTTGGGGGGGGGAAGTTTAGAAAGTGACTTGCAATGGTGACAAGAACTCTATGAAAGGGAAGGATGTGCATTGAGGAATACCATTGTATGCAGAGCTTTGGGGGGGGAAGTTTATAAAAATGACTTGCAACCGTGACAAGAACTCTATGCAAGGGAAGGATGTGCATTGAGGACTACCATTGCATGCAGAGCTTTGGGGGGGGAAGTTTATAAAAATGACTTGCAACCGTGAGAAGAACTCTATGCAAGGGAAGGATGTGCATTGAGGACTACCATTGCATGCAGAGCTTTGGGGGGGGAAGTTTAGAAAATGACTTGCAAAGGTGACAAGAACTCGATGAAAGGGAAGGATGTGCATTGAGGAATACCATTGTATGCAGAGCTTGGGGGGGGAAGTGTAGAAAATGACTTGCAATGGTGACAAGAACTCTATGCAAGGGAAGGATGCGCATTCAGAAATACCATTGCATGCAGAGCTTTAGGGTGGGAAGTTTAGAAAATGACTTGCAATGGTGACAAGAACTCTATGCAAGGGAAAGATGCGCATTCAGAAATACCATTGCATGCAGAGCTTTTCGGGGGGGAAGATGGGACGTTTAGAAAAGAAAATGACTTGCAATGGTGACAAGAACTCTATGCAAGGGAAGGATGCGCATTCAGAAATACCATGGCATGCAGAGCTTTTCGGGGGGGAAGTTTAGAAAATGACTTGCAATCTTGACAAGAACTCTATGAAAGGGAAGGATGTGCATTGAGGAATACCATTGTATGCAGAGCTTTGGGGCGGGAAGTTTATAAAAATGACTTGCAACCGTGAGAAGAACTCTATGCAAGGGAAGGATGTGCATTGAGGACTACCATTGCATGCAGAGCTTTGGGTGGGGGGAAGTTTAGAAAATGACTTGCAATCGTGACAAGAACTCTGTGAAAGGGAAGGATGTGCATTGAGGACTACCATTGCATGCAGAGCTTTGGGGGGGGAAGTTTAGAAAATGACTTGCAATCGTGACAAGAACTCTGTGAAAGGGAAGGATGTGCATTGAGGACTACCATTGCATGCAGAGCTTTGGGGGGGGGAAGTTTAGAAAATGACTTGCAATCGTGACAAGAACTCTGTGAAAGGGAAGGATGTGCATTGAGGAATACCATTGCATGCAGAGCTTTTGGGGGGGAAGTTTAGAAAATGACTTGCAATCGTGACAAGAACTCTGTGAAAGGGAAGGTATGCATTGATGACTACTATTGCATGCAGAGCTTGGGGGGGGGAAGTTTAGAAAATGACTTGCAATGGTGACAAGAACTCTATGCAAGGGAAGGATGCGGGACAGGGAGGAGTTGCTGAATCGGGACAGGTTGGAGTTGCTGAAGCGGGACAGGGTGGAGTTGCTGAATCGGGAGAGGGTGGAGTTGCTGAATCGGGACAGGGTGGAGTTGCTGAATCGGGAGAGGGTGGAGTTGCTGAATCGGGACAGGGTGGAGTTGCTGAATCGGGACAGGGTGGAGTTGCTGAATCGGGACAGGGTGGAGTTGCTGAATCGGGACAGGGTGGAGTTGCTGAATCGGGACCGGGTGGAGTTGCTGAATCGGGACCGGGTGGAGTTGCTGAATCGGGACAGGGTGGAGTTGCTGAATCGGGACAGGGTGGAGTTGCTGAATCGGGACAGGGTGGAGTTGCTGAATCGAGACAGGGTGGAGCTGCTGAATCGGGACAGGGTGGAGTTGCTGAATCGGGACAGGGTGGAGTTGCTGAATCGGGACAGGGTGGAGTTGCTGAATCGGGACAAGGTGGAGTTGCTGAATCGGGACAAGGTGGAGTTTCTGAATCGGGACAACCCGGAGTTTCTGAATCCTTGGAGTTTCTGAATCGGAGTTGCTGAATCGGGTAAAGTTTCTGAATCGTAATTTATTCGATGCCATGTTCATACAGGAGTTCGAGGAGCAGATCCTGACTGCCTGTCAGGAAAGTCAGGACCTGGCTGCCTGTTTTACCAGTTATCAGGAAGCCAGGCAGCGCCTGAGAGACAAGGCCAAGGGCCGTGGTTTCTGGCCAGTGACGGGGTCCAAAGGCCGTGGAAAGGGCAAGAAGGGAAAGTCTCCTGGGGGTGGTGCTCGTTTTGGAGCTCAGGGCAATCAGAGCTTTGGGGGTCGCCGCAGGAGCCTGGCAGATCGCATAGCGAACTCCACTTGCCGGCGATGTGGACAAGCCGGTCACTGGAAGAGAGAATGCCCTCTCTCTTCCACTCCTACTCCTGGAGGCTTGGGCAAAAAGCCAAATGAGATGGAATCCTTCACGGGCATCCTTCAGACCGATGAGGAGGTGATGGTCATCACGGAGGACATCGGGCTTGATGCTGCTGTGGAAGTCGTTGATGACCTTCCTCAGGGCGCTGTGGCATACCTGGAGGACTTGGGAAAAATTCATGGACATGTTTTTCATGCTGAGTGTTCGGATCGGGTTGAATGTTGCTTTTTGGGAACAACACAATGGTCCATGAACTTGACCCACAAACTTTTAAATTGTTGTAGGAAACATGACATGTCCTGCGACGCTCGGGCTGCTGTGTCTTTCGAAGCCCATCCACTGGATTTGAAGAATGCAGGTACGACGTCCGCACCTGCTGTTTCAATTTTTAGCGCAGAGGAGGCCGATGATGAAGCAATCATCGACACTGGTGCCAGCCGTGCCGTCATAGGGGCTGAACGGTTGAAGAAGTTGGTTCGCAGTTTACCCCCCCAAATTGGAAAGAGGGTTATGCAGGTCCCCTCGGAAGGTGTTGTTTTCAAGTTTGGCAATGCTGGCAAACTGACGAGCAATTGTGCTGTCATGCTCCCTCGCGCGCAAAAAGGATGGCTTCGAATTGAAGTCGTGCCGGGACATACTCCTTTCCTGATCTCAAGTGCCATTTTGAAAGGGTTGAAGGGTATTATTGATGTTGAAGGAAAGTGTTTGGGTTTTCGTGGTTGTGAAGAGACCATTCCTTTATTTCATGTCCGGAAAAATCTGCTGGGAGTGAAGGTGACTGATTTGTTGAACAAAACTCCCCACCTGAGTGATGCACCTTCACACACACTCTGTGCACCCACTGAGGAATCATTCACAAACGAAACGAGACATGAAAACGGAACAATGTCATTGAAAACGGATGGAACACTTGGAGACAAACTGAATGATTCAAAACATGACAACATGAAAACGCCACAGGTTCATGCTGCCGTCACCCACCATATGCATGACATGTCCACTCAGGATGGAATTCAGAACATGTTTCCTAAGGAAAATTCAGTTAATGATCACCAAGGTATGAGCCGAGTGAACCGAAAAGATTCTGCGTGCAACGCAGCTCTTCTGAGTGACCAAGATCGTCCAGCCCGGGGTATTTTCAGTGAGACCGCATCTGGTCGACATGGCGAATCTCCAAGGGCCGAACTATCTCGACCGCATGCTGACCACGCCCATGGATGGAAATCTGATGGGCTATCACACCCACGGAGATCTTCCGCAGGCCTTGGTGAGGCCTCCGGATATCAATACTCTCACGGATTGGGGGTATCTCAAAGCTCCATCGGGCAAGCATGCTTCAAAGAGCTTCGCGGCCATCTACGAACTGGACCAGGGCTATGTCAACCAGATGTGGAACCGCAGAGGGGTGTCCTCGTGGGTTCGAAGTTTTCAGATGTACAGTCGAGCTCGTCGAGCGGCCAGCGAGGAGGCCAAGAGACGTGGCCGACAGGGGAGTCCTTCGACTTCACAGGGCCCTCCGATGACACCACCGCAGATGCCAGTGCCGCCGATGTCTTCGATGGCCTCGAACACAGTGCCTCAGCCGATCAGTCAGGGCAAGCTCAAGGAGAAGGACAAGCAGTCCGATCTCGAGGAATGGACCCAGATACCGGTGGAAACATCGGTTCCATGCGAGGGGAACAAGGGCAAGAGGGTCCTCGACAATCCAACGACCAAGATGGAGACCCAGCCCAACAAGGAGAAGATCGTGCAGATTCAGACACAGATTGCCATCTTGCAGCGCGAGCTGCAGAAGGAGACGTCGGGCACCGAAGTGTTTCAACATCCGGAGAGCAACTGATCCAGATGGCAGAGAAATTGAATAATCTTACCCACCAAATCGAGGGCGGTTTGTCCACACTCAAAAAAGATCCGGCATATGTGTTCAAAAGTGAACGGGTATATAAATGTCGGGGAAAGAATCTCAACATGTTGGGGAATTCCAATTTAAAGAAAAGTATGACCAAGACCACCAATGGGATCGATCTTCTTGAAGTCTACTGCGATACTGAGTCCCAATTAACCAAGCAAGTTAATCTTTTGGGGGGTAGAGCAGTTCGATTTACCAAGCAAGATGGGGATCTGGGAACATCATCGGGTCAGAAGAAACTGTGGTCATGGATTTACTTGTTGGAACCCCGCAACATATGGGTAGCACCCGAATGCAAACTATGGGGAAACTTCTCAAGGTTCAACATGGGACGAAGTGTAAAGATGTTGGATCAAATCATGGAACGGAGGGAAGCTGATATACCACATTTGATGTTATGTAATCAGTTGTACCTTCATCAGGTGAGTCAGTCACGGCACTACCATCATGAACAACCACAAGGATCAGAGATGACTGCTCAGCCGGAACTGTCCGACATGGCTCTGGGAACGCTGCCAGCCACTTTTGATATGTGCCAGGTTGGGAAGCTTAGATTGCCTTCAGCCTCAGGTTTTCTCAGGAAAAGGACCACTTTAAACACCACATGTCGGACACTCTTTTTGAATCTCAACACACAAACATGTCGAGGTGATCATGATCACCAACCAATTCAAGGAAAGTTCAAACATGAGGGTTCATGGAAAACAGTGTCACACTATGCACAAACATACACCTCACAGTTCGCACGGCGAGTTGCTAGGGTTCTTTTGGCCGAATCCCGACATCGGGAGACTCCTTTGGTTTTAGAAGAAATGGTTTTAGGCCTTGAGGATCACGAACGTCCCGAAATGGCACAAGAGGCATTGCAGCTCCAGAAAAGACGTCGCGTCAGCTTGAAACAACCAGAAAATTCACTGTATGGCAAAGCACCCACATGGCATGATGTGTTCCGTCAAGCTGGACATTCCACCCCAAGAGTAGGAAATGCTTTCTATAAGGGGGAAGAGGGTGATGCCGTGTTCCGAATGGTTCAACAACTGGTGCCTGACATGACAGTGAAACTGGTGGTTGCATGCCGGGGTACAGACAGACACCGTATCCAGCCGGCCGCAGCAAACTGTGAAGTGTTTCCCTGGCGGAAAACAGTCTTGGTGGCACGCAACTCGGGGGAGATTGTTGATTTGGGGCCTCCCGAAAAATGGAGCACGCTCACACGTGCTCGGCAGATCAGGTCCACTGGGGCAGCCAGAATTTCACTCTCTATTTTTGGGATTAAGGATGAAGATGGTGTTGTGGTGGATCCTCCGAGTGCCGCTGTCAGTTCCGACCGAGACAGTGCCGAAGGCCAGTCTCCGGTCTGCGTTCCAAATGAAGATCAAGTCATGGCCGAGCCCTCCAATTCCAATGGGGAAAATTTTGCATGGGTCCCCCGAATTATCCCTAAATCGGGGCCTGGGTTTCTCATGTTGGATAAGGGGGAACAAGTTGAGCTTAGGCGTTTGCATAACAATCTTGGTCATCCTGATCCTGATAAGATGGTTCGTTTTCTCACGGAACGAGGGGCTAAGCCTGAGATTGTAGCCGGGGCGAAAGATATGAGTTGTGATACTTGTGTTGAAACCCAAAATCGACCAAAGTTGTCCCAACCAAGTCGCATTCATGAAAACCTGGATTTCAATGATGTTGTCGGAGCCGATGGGGCTTATTGGACAAATGCCCAGGGGAAGACTTTTCATTTCATGCATTTCATTGATGAGTCTACCTTGTATCATCTAGGTGCAGTGTGTGCGCGAAAGGTTGAGGACCAAATTCGAGTCTTCCTACAAGCCTGGGTCCAATGGGCCGGACCATGCACGTTGCTGTACTTGGACCCGGCAGGGGAATACATCAGTGACGAATGGTCCGCTGCTCTCCAAAGTGAGGGAATCAGGGTATCAATGACAGCTGCTGAGTCGCATTGGCAGAATGGTAGAGCTGAGGCGCATGGACGCATCATCAAAAATATGTTGACTCGTATGGAGAAGGATCAAAGTATCCTCACTGTTGAGGATTTTTCTCGATGTTTGCGTCAAGCGTTTGCTGCTAAGAATTCCTTGAGCCGAGTCAATGGCTTTACCCCAGAGCAATGTCTACTGGGAAAGTCAAGGCGCCTTCCAGGCTCTCTTACCTCAGACTTCGATGCGGCCAGTCACAGCCTTGCAGAGAGCTCGTCCCCAGAGGGTATCCGTTTTCGAGCGGCCTTGCAGCGTAGGGAGAGTGCCCGGAGAGCCTTTGTACAGGCAGACAACGACTCGTCATTTCGACGAGCTCTCTTGCGACAGAGTCGGCCAGGTAAGGTAGAATATGAAAAAGGTGACTGGGTCTTATATTGGCGACGAACAAAGGGAAACAATCGTATCGAGCGGGGTAGGTGGTATGGTCCTGCACAGGTCATTGTTTCAGAGAAGCCCAAAGTCATCTGGCTTAGTCACCTTGGACGTGTCATCCGTGCCAGTCCCGAACACATCCGACCAGCATCCTTGAGGGAATATGCCAATCTGCCTAGAGATGAAAATGGGGAAGTTCGGGATGAGAAACCACAGGGAAGAGGGTTTATTGATTTGGGGAGTAGTGGAGGCATGGGCCCTGGAACCCCCGAAAATGGGAACCCTGAAGTAGAACCTCATGAAAACATGGCAGCTGGCATACATATTCCTGAGCCACCGGTTTCCGAATTTTCATATGCTCCAACGACTCCTCTGGAAAGTCAACCAGACGGGGAGCAATTTCCGAGTGGTGTTTCCGAGCCTATGGATGAAGCTTCCGAAGAACCCCCTCAACAGGTTGAAGAAACCCCTGACCTGAATGATGGTAGGTTTGTTCCTGTTCCGGATAGTGATGATGGTCTGTGTGTTTTTGGGGATGATTTAGAAGTGTGTGAGGATGGTTGTGGGGTTTGGGAGTTAAACCTGGTAGACCATGACATGGAAACACCGGTGGCTGATCTCCTTTGTCAGAACCCCCAAGTTTTTGAGGATGTTTTTATTGCAACAGGGGATCGAAAGAAGAGGGTTGAAGTCGACTATCGGAGGTTGGGTCCCAGTGATCAGAAATTGTTTGATGTGGCAAAACAAAAGGAGGTCAAGGCTTGGTTGGATCATGGCACAGTGAAACGTTTGGCCAAAGGCACCTTGCATCCAGAACAAGTGATGAGGTGTCGGTGGCTCCTGACTTGGAAGGATCCTCTGCCTGGCAACACCGAGCGCAGAGCAAAGGCTCGCCTGATCATATTGGGTTTTGAAGATCCTGGTATCGGTGTGGTACCAAATGACGCTCCAACTCTTTCCAAGGATGCCAAACAGCTGTTGCTTCAGAAAGCTGCCAGTTGCCGATGGGATCTGATTAACTTTGACATTTCAACAGCCTTTCTCAAAGGGGAAGGTGATGGCAGACCTCTTGGAATTCATCCACCGGGAGAAATCCGAAAAGCCCTGCATATGAAAGAGGGTGACCAATGTGGTTTAGAGGGGGGAGCCTATGGCAGGGTAGATGCTCCCTTTTTGTGGTATCGGGCCTTCAAAGCAACGTTGGAATCGCTGGGCTTCTTGACATGTCCCATGGATGGTTGCCTGTTTAGTTTGGTGACACCTGATGCCAAAGGCAAACCTAAGGTTAGAGGAGTTTTGGGTATTCATGTTGACGATGGCATCGGTGCAGGTGATGAATATTTTAAAGGGGTCATTGCCAAACTTCGGAGTATCTATGATTTCGGGGCTTATAATGAGAGGGAATTTGATTTTTGTGGGGTCCACTATAAGCAGTGGGATGATGGGACTATTGAGATGGATCAGATGGGGTACCTCCAAAAGATAGAGCCCATAGAAATTTCCCGAAATAGAAGAGGACAACCCGAAGAAAATGTCACAGAGGTGGAGCGACAACAGCTTCGCCGGTTGTGCGGCAGTTTACAGTATGGAGCAGTGCACACCCGTCCCGACTTGGCTGCGAAAACCGGCCAATTGCAGGCCATTGTAACAAGAGCCAAAGTGAGACATCTCATTGAAGCCAATCGAGTGTTATATGAAGGAAAAACTCATCCGGTTTGTTTGATGTTGGTACCTATTCCTGAAGATCGTGTTGCTTTTTGTGCCTTTTCTGATGCTTCTTTTTCAACTTCTAAGGATTTGTCTTCACGTCAGGGAACGTTGAAATTTTCAACGGACACTCGGCTAGCTCAAAATGAGCGCACTGTCGTCTGCCCCATTGCATGGAGCTCACGGAAAATACCTCGAGTTGTAACTTCAACTTTAAGTGCAGAATCGATGGCACTCAGCTCAGCCCTGGACAGATTGGGATACATCAGAGTGATGTGGGAATGGTTGAAAGATCCGGCAGTAGACTGGGCGAATCCTAGTCAAGTTTTGGCCAAAGCACCCACTTCCAGCGCAGTGACTGATTGCAAGAGCGTCTACGATCTGGCAACAAAGACCTCTGTCCCAGTCTGTACAGAGTACAGAACAACTTTAGAATGTTTGCTCATACGTGAGCGCCTTAGAGAGAACGTAGCTATGCGTTGGATCAGCACTCAGGCTATGCTGGCTGACTCCTTGACAAAGAGTATGGATTCAGGCATGTTGCGGGAATGCTTGAAGTCAGGGCGATATACTTTGTTTGACGAAGGAGAAAGCTTGCGTCAGAGAGCTTCCAAGCGTGAGCGGTTGCAGTGGCTGAAAGATGGAACTGCTTCCAAGGAACATGGATGTGATGGGAAATAAACTTTTTAATCTTTTTGATTTTTGACCAGTGTGAAACCACTTGTCATACACATCCATGTCTCAGGTTCCATTGACCTTTAACAGCTTTTCACTGCTTGCATCCATCGCCGGCCGCCTCGCCGTCCTTAGTGGTGGGCGGGACAGGGCATTGAGCCTTGGTAGGAGCTACGGGTGAAACAGGAAGCAGCAGCAGGGTCTCTGCATTGGGTTGATCAGGCTGGCAGGGTTCAGCTTTCCGGTAAGGTGTGATTGGGGATCCCACTAAACATTCGCAATATATATACATGTATGTGTATGTGTGTATGTACATGTTAACTGGTTTCAGTATGTGCATGTGCATATGTGTTTTCACATGTGTGTATTTGATGTAGATTTCAACATGTGTATGTGTGTGTAAACATATATACATATATATATATATGCAGATATATATATATATACGTATATATATATATTTGTGCGCATGCATGTGCATAGCATTTGTAAATACTATAGGAATCTATAGGATTACGAATTCCTCATTCGCTAGGATGAATGGTTTTCAGCTCAACCGATTGTCCACCATACCAGACCTGGATATGAAGCAACTCAAATTGGGGATCTTATATAACCCGCTGAGAATTGGGATCAATCAACATTGGGGGAGGGTGACCCATCACAACTTGGGTGAGAAAACCAGCCGATTTTGAAGATTTTGAGGGAGACTACGTGAGCTCTATACAGAACATCGAAGTTGAGACTAGAAATCCAACCACATTGGGGATCTTAGACAGTAAAAATGGGGGGTGGGTAGAAATCATGGTTGACTTCTAGGTAATCAAGTGCAACCAACATTAACCAACAACAATGAGTCAGGATGCTCGCTGGCTCATTTTTGCGATGCAGGGTTTTGAGTTGGTTCACACGTTGATTGTTTCAAATCAGCTCCCGAAGCAGAAAACCGAGTATGCGTCCTATGATCCCAGGGTTTATTCTTTAGAGCCTCAGCTATTATTGGTTAGAGATGTCACCGTTTTTTGCGATGGGACGTGCGCCAACTTTCTGACTGGACGTCAGCTGCATCGATCATGGGGTACCCATGGGTACCCCGAAACCCAATGAATTAGAACCATTGGAATTGCCCAAATTACGCATCCCTCTTATTTGGGAAAACACCCTGACAGTCAGTCACCCCGTTCCAGACCCAGCCATGCACAGCCCAACCTGGGTTTCAACCACTTTAGCCAGCAGACGATTCAGCGCATAGCCTTCTGGGCAATCTTGTGGGTCCTGCGACAAGCTGATAAAGGTTGTGGCAAAAAGCAAGGGCGGACAAGGACAAGCAACCAGAAATATAATCACTTTGCTGAACAGACTCCTTCTTCATCATGATCCCCTATCCCATTCGGCCACGCACTCACTTGCGCACCATAAATTTCACTCACTTGCGCACCCAGTGCGAAAAAAATCACTAACTAGCGCACCCTAATCATCTTTCCTGCCGGACACAGGCACTGCACTTTCATCATCGTTTGCTGTGGGGTGGGGTGGGGTGGAGTGGGACAATAACGTTCATGTTCCTGTGCACACACAGGCACCATGTTCTGAAACTGGAATCAACAGTAAACCTCTGAGACCGCCATGATGATGATGATGATGATGATGATGATGATGATGGTGATGGTGATGATGATGATGATGATGATGATGATGATGATGATGATGATGATGATGGGTGCACAAGCGAGGGAAAAAGCAAGTGCACAAGCGAGTGAAATTTGGGGTGTACAAGCGAGTGCTCACCTACTCATTCCGACTCACCTTGTTCCGCATACAGGCATAGAGTGCCAAACAGAGGCTTGCACCTGCCAAATGGCCTCGGTTCAAACATGTTCAGAAAGACCATGTTCGGATGATCTGTGAAAAAATGCATGGACTTCATTCATCACTGCTGACTCTTGGGATGGCCAACGGCCAACTCTTTGCAAATCCAAATCCGACCCAAGAATCAGAGACAGCTTGGAATCATTGGCAACTGGGCTTCCAAGCTAGGAGTTGGATTCTCCAATTTCGCCACCTCAGTTGCAGCACCACCACATCCGTGGCTCCTGTGGATTCGTCGATGATCATTCCCCATACAAAAAGTATCAAAAGAATTCAAAAGGTAATACCGTATAACCACAGAAAAAATCATCAACCCCCAACATCAAGGTTTTTGAAACTGCATATCGGCTGAAAATATGGCGCACCCAAATCCCAAGGTTTACCATCAAAATTGTGAGGGAGTATCCCGGAATTTTTGGACAAATCGACCGTGCTGCCAGCCATGTTTGGATCAATAAAAGCAGGCAGCAGGCAGCAACTACCCGTATTTCTGAAAGTCCCCGCTGCCAATCGCTGCGTTGCCACTTCCATTAGCGGCCTGACCCACAATTTCACAAGAGCGGTTGAAAGTTGGAAGATCCTACAACCCCCGGAATTGGAAAATACAAAAACCCAAAAACTAGCAATTCTGGCAGGAACATGATTTTCTAAACCCACTTATTGTTTGGCTTTCCATATGCTCTCAGCTCGACGCACCCGAACAGCCTGGCGGCATCGGAGTACAGCACCAGGGGATGCTCCGAAAGTGAAGCCTATGTCGAAGCCCGCTCGGGTGTAGTGACCGGCCGTGCTCCTAGTTATAACTGGGTTATTCCCGGCCATCGAACTGGCAGCTAGTCGGAAGGGGACCCTCATTCTGGAACACAGCTTCCATCGCAGTCGCTTTTACCCCTATACCATCTAATCCTAAGTGGGTTGCTCCACAGATGGACTAAAAATGCTGAAAATATCCTGAAAATGTCCTGAATACAATCCAAAATTCATCAAAATTCCTGCAATTTTAGGAAGGGAATTCATCTGCCCAAAAAAAGCCACCACCTGGTGCCACCTGAGTCCAAGACCATGAGACGCAGCATTTGACTTGAGGTGAGCACCCCCCGTGCTTGATGTAGTTCCTGTAGAATCTGTGGATTCCGTTTAGCTCCGAGAAATGGGTTTAGCTCAATCATCCCATTGGGCTCGTCACTCCCAATGGTTTATCGGTTGATCTGATGAAAAATGGCTGATTAAAACGGGCAGACTGCGGGTTGAGTTCCAGAGAAATTTGGTGTCCCGCAGCTGGCATAGCTGGCATAGCTCTCCTTCAACCTCCTTTGATATCGCAACTTCAGAGGATCCATCCTGGAAACTGAGAATAGCTGGCTTTGGCAGACTGCTGGGTTTTCTTCTTACGTGATCTATCTTATAATCATTCCAAGGGGTTGTCCGATTTCCAGCTAAATCGAATGTAGTATACTGAGCAGATATCCACTTGTATGCAACTGGGCTTCAGTTATCTATACATGCTGATAACTATTGGTACTTATTTGTCAGAGTAGATTGATTGGGGACAATGACCTTGGCATTTAGATTGCCAAAGATGCCAAGATAAATAGCAGCTTCCATTTTGTCCTTTGTCGCTGTCTTCTATGCAAAGGTAATCTATTGACATACATGGAAAAATTGTAATTGCACAAGCCCCTGAAGCCTGAAACTATATTTTAAGAGATTGTCAAGTCATGTGAGCTCCTGAACTTTCAACTATTGAGCTTGCACCATGCACTGTAACAAACATGTCATGTTATTATTAATCCCACCTCACTCCGCCCAACACAGAAACGAAAAAACAGGCAAAACTAAAACTCAGATGCTGCAACGGTGAACGCTCAACAAGCATACCTGGTGCAGAGAAGAAGCTATCGAAGCTCTGACCAGATTGGCTGGCCGTTTCTAATGTTTCTAGTGTCCACCATCAGGTTTCAGGGAATAATTCCCTTACAAATCTTACAAACCACTCAATACGTCCAAATCGTCCAATGGTTGACGCATGTGTCCCTGGAAAGTCAGACCTCTCAGACGACATCTGCTCCAAGTTGGACAAGGCATAGTCCACCTGGGCCACCCATGGTGGTTGGTACTCCAATAACGTGACAGGTGGGTTGGAAAAACCATAGGATTTGGGTTGGAAAAACCATAGGATTTGGGTGTTGCATATCTGGCAAAGTCATTGAAGTTCGGCTGGAAAAATATCATCCACTGATGAAGCATGAGTTTTCTTTGATCCAGCTATTGACAGCTTCACTTGACCCTATCTTATCGGGGTCCATCACCAAGGAGAAAAATATCCTGTGTTTGGGTCGACCGCACAACCTACTGAAACCACGCAACCTAAACTTTCAGCTTGTCTAAGCCGTCTACACTTATGACATTTGAATGCAACAAATCAAACTAGGCACCAGTCATTCCAGGTTCTTCTCGGATCTATCTGGTGATACTCACTCCACGAAAATTCTGGTGAAAGTAACTTATGAATCCCACACTCAACAAACAAAACCAGTAGAAAAATCAGGCCTTGTCCTGCAAAGAGATGGGTTGCTGTGGTGCCGTGGCTGCTCGATAAAGTCCCTTGACACGCTCTGGCCTGAGCCAAACAGCAAGCGGCTTAGGCCAAAAACATACTCAGCTTGGGCCGCTTATATAATCAAATGGGTCTTATTTTTTAAATACCACCAAGAAACGCATTCAATGTTGGAGATGCTATTCATTCTCAGCCAGAAATTAAAATACTCTACCTGGTACCTCTACTGTACCTCAGTGGCGGGAAACTGGCACCTCTCAGTCTTCAGTCAAGGTAGGTTTTCCCTCGTTGGAACAAAACCTTTGCACCACCTAGCTGAAGGACCAGCTAGGAGGAATCTTTTGGAAACAGTGTTTCTACCCTTCGTGATGGATTACCAAAAAATGTTCGTACATATTTAGCATGACGGTCTGGATCACGACCTGGCACATCTTTGGTTGAGTTGTCAAGACGAATACCACACACCCAAAGAAATTGAACCTCAGAATGAGCTTTGTCGCACAATCTATATATATACATATACGTGTATATATACATATATATATAATTCTATATTATATATATAATTAAACTATATATAACTATATATACGTGTGTATATATATATATGTAGTAGATGTAGTAGATGCAGTGTGACCAAATCCCGGTGATTCCGATTTATGGGATCCACGCACTCCCACGGTGATGTGCCGGCAGAAAATCCTGGCAACAAAACGAGGCACAAGGGGAGGTTCAGTGGCACAGTATCTTGCTCAAGAACAATCAGCTATATAAATATTGTAAATCCTATTCAAACATGTCTGCAGTATGTGTAGACTTGTGAAATGGATTGAAACCGAGTTTCTCGTAGATTTGAGAACGAACAATGTGCCATATTGTGGCATCATACCCGTCACTTTCTCCAGACCGCGGTCACGAGTCAAACACAACCACAGAGGCGACCAGAGGCGACCAGAGGCGACCTGTCGTGGATCGCCACCACCTGAGAGTTCGGCGCAACTGCCACGGATAGGACCGGATAGGTCAAGCAAATGATGATAAACCACGATAAACCAGTGGATTTGGACCATATGAATGGGGTGAATGAACATCCCTTTGCCTACTATTTTGCGTTGACCGGCATATCAGGGTTTTGACCAAACTTCAACAAGAACCTTTTTTGCACAGGTCAAGAATGACCCCATAGAATTCACACTGATTTTGTTTGCAGTTTTGACCCTGCCTGTCCGTTGAAAACTGCCGGCAACGCTGAAAGCCCATGCCTCACATGTCGACGATGGCGTCGGAATTCACCACACAAACGCAATCGAATTAACTGGGTTTGGGGTGTCAAGGATCGATTTACCCCATTTGTTCTTCGCAATTCTTACGTGGCATCACGCAAGTCTTTATGTGCAATCTTTTTTTAGCGTAAAAAAAAACTGTCCAAATGTTTCTCGTTTGAGTGTGGTCGTAAAAACCCTTTGGCAAAAACCGGCAAACGCCCACCACCTGGCCTGTATGCGGTGCTCAGCATGGTGGCATGCTGACCATTCAACATCGCAGAGTTTCCCAAGACATGCCATCTGTGACGGCCAGTGTTCAAAATGATGACTGCAATCAGCAGCATTCCTCCAATGAAGATGTCCTGTTTGCAAGGTTTCATGGGCTGCACTGCGAAACATACATGTTACATACCTGCCTTTGGTCACTTAGCATCTGCTGCCTGTTTGAAGCTGTTCGCAGTGTCATTTAACGCGTGGCTGGATCAAAGCTCTGAAATTGCAGATGCCAGCTAAATAAGATACTGGGCACTCGTTTGTCCTAAAGCTTCTTCTGTTAGAACCAGCAACACAATGGGGCATGGCGAAACATGGTTCGTTCCCATTGTACATTGTCCTTGGCCCAGTTGGCAACTATACAGTACCCCTGAACAACTCATGTAACTCATGTTTTGGTCTGTCTCCAATCGCAAGTTCACGGGACCGCCGCATCAAATCTTTACACGCTTTACACGCTGTTTTCATCCTGGACTTGTTGCAAATCGATTCTGGCCATTTTCGCCAGAGCTGCATTGTCGACCATTGAAGCATGTCACACAATTGCCCTTCCATGTGGAAGAACCCTTGACCCAGCGATGGATCGCCCCGGCCACCGGCCACGTTGGGGTCAGCACATGTCAGCTGCAGGCCTCCCTTTGATTGGTTTTAGTGTGACATGTGGCACATGTCACACTAAAACCAATCAAAGGAGGCCTGCAGCTCGACCACCTTGAGACTTTCAGCGTTTTCGCTCTGGAGTCGGCCCATCCAATGCCCTGGTGTGGCTACGGTTGCTACGGGAAGCAAGGAAACCCAAGAAAAACACCTGGCCTGTTCTAGACGGAAGGCAAAGTCTCGTGACGTTTGACATATTCAAATACATGACATGGGTGCCAAAATGGGAAACCCGAAATCCATCTCAAACTCAGTCAAGTATAACTCTTGTCCTTCTGGGTTGGTCTCCAACGTGGACCAGCATGGACGTAAGGCTTCACGCAACGCTTTCCCTAACACCTGCAAATCTGCTGGCCTGACCACTCTTCGATGTCAAGGAAGAGGATCTCTGTTTTCCCAAGAAAGGAGTCTTGGAACCAACCTTCCCGGAAGACGCTGACCTAGGTTAGATAGAAAAGGACAAAAATCACAGCACGGATGTTTTCGCCACTTGAAGGATGTTGAAGGCATCAAGACACATGTAGCATAGAGAAATTCCTGTTGCTGCATGTGTCCAGTATAGTGTCTCAATGCTACCTTCAATAATGAAGTGTCTTCCAATTCTCCTAAGTGAACTTAGACTTGTGAAACTGCAAAAGACCACATAGGTCGTCAACATCAACAGATTGAGTCATGCAACCAATGATAGCCTATGCATGCAACTCTGTACATTCAGCCAGGTGCATGTCATCATCAGCTCCAAGTGGCTGCCAAAGAGGTGTCAACTCGATGTATTGAGAAGTCGTAGTTCGCATCCCAGTGGCAATTTTGCCCTGGGACCCTCTTTGTTTCAAAGCTCTGATCACCAACACTCCTGGGACATGGCCGCGACACTCTCAGCTCTTGGGCACAAATCCGGCATCGATCAAAGGGCTGCAAATGCCAAAATGCCAAGTTTCAAGACTGCGTAGTGATAGCCAGCAAAGAGCAACCTTGGTGATGGCAAGCCGCAAAGCTAGCACATTGAGTTTCCCGCCCCGCTTTTGGTCAACGCTTTATAGTTGACTAAGTGAACGTCATGGCTCCAATGGCATGGCTCCAATGGCATGGCTCAGGGCGGGGCTCAGGGGCCGGAAGTTGTCTTGCTCGCAAGCGCACACCCAAGCGACCGATCCCCGAGGTCTCCTTGGCATCCTGCATGGGATGGGTTTCAGCATGGATCTATAACTACCCGTGAAAAAATGATAATAAATATCATAAATATGTATATAATATCCGCCGACCCCTCCAAGGGGGGCGCGCCAGAGAAACTTGAACCCACATGACTATACAATCGCCATTCATCTTCCCTGTTCCGCAGCGCTTCCTAAGGTGACGTTTGGAAGCGTTTTTACAGTTTCTTAGTCCAAGCCCATCTGGACCCCACAAGTCAACTTCTTCCAATAATGAGCAACAAATGTTGTAGCGGGGACGGGGAAGGAAGGAAAGACAAAGGAGGAGGTGGAGGATCGAGAAGTAAAACAAGTTGTATGTGAAGAGTTGTGTGTGACAAAGTTGTATGTGAAAGATGGTGTGTGACAAAGAAAGATGGTGTGTGTGTGTGTGACAAAGTTGTGTGTGAAAGATGGCGGTGCGCGCGTGTGTGTGAAAGAGAGCGTGTGACAAAGTTGTGTGTGTGAAAGATGGTGTGTGACAAAGTGGTGTGCGAAAGAGGGTGTGGCAAAAGATGGTGTGTGACAAAGTTGTGTGTGAAAGATGGTGTGGCAAAAGATGGTGTGTGACAAAGTTGTGTGTGAAAGATGGTGTGGCAAAAGGTGGTGTGTGACAAAGCTGTGTGTGAAAGATGGTGTTGTGAAAGATGGCGTGAACAAGAACCCCACACAAAGATGTGGGGAAAAACAGCATGAACATGAACATGAAGAAGAATAGAAACACACTAAAATTTCGCAAGCAAACACATCTCAACTTCAATCTACGCCTGCCACGCAGAATGCACGTCTACACGCAAAGTGACAGTCGAGGTCGCGAAGTGCCACGCCTGCCACGCAGAATGCACGTCCATGTCGCAGAGTGCCCCGCCTGCCACTCAAACGGCGGCAGCGACCACGGCGCCAAACAGGACCCAAGCACGTCACGGGAGCCAGCCCAGTGCCATAAGTGCCACGCCTGCCACGCAAAGTGACGATCTATGTCGCGAAGCGCCAGGCCTGCCACGCAGAGTGACGGTCGATGTCGCCCAGTGAAACGGTGCCGGTGACCACCCAAGCGCGTCACTGGAGCCAGCCCAGTGCCATAGAAGTGCCACGCCGACGCCTGCCACGCAAAGTGACGATCTATGTCACGAAGTGCCACGCCTGCCAAGTAAAGTGACGATCTATGTCGTGAAGTGCCACGCCTGCCACGCAAAGTGACGGTCCATGTCGCCCAGTGCCACGCCGGCCACGCAAACGGTGGTGGCAACCACGGCGCCAAACGAGACCCAAGCACGTCACCGGAGCCAGCCCAGTGCCATAAGTGCCACGCCGGCTACGCGGAATGCACGTCTATGCCACGCAGAATGCACGTCCATGTCGCCAAGTGCCACGACTGTCATGCAAAGTCACGGTCGATGTCGCCAAGCGCCATGCCTGCCACGCAAACGGCGTCGGCGACCACGGCGCCAAACGAGACCCAAGCCCGTCACCGGAGCCAGTCCAGTGCCATAAGTGCCACGCCTGCCACGCAGAATGCACGTCTATGCCATGCAGAATGCACGTCCATGTCGCCAACGCAAAGTGACGGTCGATGTTGCCAAGTGCCACGTCTGCCACGCAAAGTGTTGTATGTGAGTAAGTTGTGTGTGGACAAGTTGTGTGTGGACAAGGTGTGTGAGCAAGTTGTGTGTGGACAAGTTGTGTGTGGACAAGGTGTGTGTGAGTAAGGTGTGTGTGAGTAAGTTGTGTGGTGACAAGTTGTGTGTGTGAGTAAGTTGTGTGTGGACAAGTTGCGTGACAAGTTGTGTGTGGACAAGTTGTGTGTGGACAAGTTGCGTGACAAGTTGTGTGTGGACAGCAAGTTGTGTGGTGACAAGTTGTGTGGTGACAAGTTGTGTGTGTGGACAAGTTGTGTGGTGACAAGTTGTGTGTGAGTAAGGTGTGTGCGGACAAGTTGTGTGTGGACAAGTTGTGTGTGGACAAGTGGTGTGTGGGCGGCGGGCGGGCAGGAGCGGGAGCGGGCAGGCAGAAGCGCACAACCAAAAACAAGAACCCCACACAAAGATGTGGGGAAGAATGGTCATCAGTGAGTCAAACTGATGTTCCCTTCAGGCCTAACGTACGACGGTCTTGTGCTGAATCAAAACGGTCGCTGCCAAGCAAGCTGGATTACACGGCTTCTTGCCATCTGACAGCGCAAAATGCTGTAAATTACAGCACTTTGTGCGCTGTTTATGTTCAATTTTTCAACGAGCGATGCTTTCACATGTGCTTGGCATTCTTCAACAAGAAACGGCGTTACAGATTGAAACTAGACGACAGTGTGGCCCGAAAGAAAGCTGGAGGGAGGAGACGCACAGAAGCTTTTACACACAGGAGCTTTTACACAGAGAAGTCTTTACACAGGGGAGCTCCTTACACAACAATCGGCCAAGCCGCCGCAGAGAGGCTGCCCGCCAACGACAGGATCCACACCCAGGGGGTCCCTGGCTGTGGCTCCCCCCGCCTCCACGTCCCGGAGGCAGGGCAGCCAGAGGCCCTGGTTCTTGCAGGCGTGGACTCCTTGTCCTGCGACGTTCAGTCAGTTTGAATCCAATTGCCGGTGCCAGTCTACCCCGCTCCTCGTTGGAGGTGTTGTGAAGAGCGAGGCTTTCCTCTGTGAGTGGGCCTTGGCATGTGAATAGCAATTTTGGTGGCTGCACAAAATCGAAAAATACCTTTATAAATAAATCACAACTGGATTGGGGATGACAAAGAACAACCATTGAATCTGAATGCTTCAGCGTGCTTTCCCTGTCCATCCCGCTATACCGTCACACAAGAAATATGATGATGAATGCTGCTGGTGAGTAGCTTTTACACAGGCACGTTTACACACAGAAGCTTTTACGCACAGAAGCTTTCACACACACACACACAGGGGCTTTTACACAGAGAAGTCTTTACACAGAGGAGCTCCTTACACAACAATCGGCCAAGCCGCCGCAGAGAGGCTGCCCGCCAGCGACGGGATCCACACCCAGGGGGCCCCTGGCTGTGGCTCCCCCTGCCTCCGGGACGTGGAGGCAGGGGGCAGCCAGAGGCCCCCTGGTTCGCGCAGCCAGAACTGTGTCCATCCGTCTTCTGTCGGCTCCACGGAATGCTTGTCCTGCGCCGTTCAGTCAGCTTGAATCCAAGGCAATTGGAGCATCTGCGGTGCTAGTCTACCCCGCTCCTCGTTGGAGGTGTTGTGAAGAGCGAGGTTTTCCTCTGTGAGTGGGCCTTGGCATGTGAATAGCGATTTTGGTGGCTGCACAAAATCGAAAAATATCTATATAAATAAATCACAAGTGGATTGGGGATGACAAAGAACAACCATTGAATCTGAATGCTTCAGCGTGCTTTCCCTGTCCATCCCGCTATACCGTCACAAAAGAAATATGAAATATGATGATGAATGCTGCTGGTGAGTAGCTTTTACACAGGCGCGTTTACACACAGAAGCTTTTACGCACAGAAGCTTTCACACACACACACAGGGGCTTTTACACAGAGAAGTCTTTACACAGAGGAGCTCCTTACACAACAATCGGCCAAGCCGCCGCAGAGAGGCTGCCCGCCAGCGACGTGATCCACACCAGGGCGCCCCTGGCTGTCGCTCCCCCCCCCTCCACTTCCCGGAGGCAGATGGTTCGTGCAGCCAGAAATGCGTCCAGCCGTCCTCGCTGGGCTCTATGGACTCCTTGTCCTGCGCCGTTCAATCAGCTTGAATCCAAGGCAATTGGAGCATCTGCGGTGCTAGTCTACCCCGCTCCTCGTTGGAGGTGTTGTGAAGAGCGAGGTTTTCCTCTGTGAGTGGGCCTTGGCATGTGAATAGCAATTTTGGTGGCTGCACAAAATCGAAAAATACTTATATAAATAGATCACAACTGGATTGGGGATGACAAAGAACAACCATTGAATCTGAATGCTTCAGCGTGTTTTCCCTGTCCATCCCGCTACACCGTCACACAAGAAAATATGATGATGAATGCTGCTGGTGAGTAGCTTTTACACACACAGGGGCTTTTACACAGAGAAGTCCTTACACAGAGGAGCTCCTTACACAACAATCGGCCAAGCCGCCGCAGAGAGGCTGCCCGCCAGCGACGGGATCCACACCCAGGGGGCCCCTGGCTGTGGCTTCCCCCCGCCTCCACGTCCCGGAGGCAGGGCAGCCAGAGGCCCTGGCTCGTGCAGGCAGAATTGCGTCCAGCCGTCCTCGCTGGCCTCTATGGACTCCTTGTCCTGCGCCGTTCAGTCAGCTTGAATCCAAGGCAATTGGAGCATCTGCGGTGCTAGTCTACCCCGCTCCTCGTTGGAGGTGTTGTGAAGAGCGAGGTTTTCCTCTGTGAGTCTGCCTTGGCATGTGAGTAGCAAAATTTTGGTGGTTGCACACAATCGAAAAATACTTATATAAATAAATCACAACTGGATTGGGGATGACAAAGAACAACCATTGAATCTGAATGCTTCAGCGTGTCTTCCCTGTCCATCCTGCTATACCGCCACACAAGAAAATATGATGATGAATGCTGCTGGTGAGTTGAGTAGCTTTACACAGGCGCGTTTACACACAGAAGCTTTTACGCACAGAAGCTTTTACACACACAGGGGCTTTTACACAGAGAAGTTTTTACACAGAGCGGCTCTTAGACACAGAAGCTTTTACACACAGAGGCTTTTACACAGAGAAGTCTTTACACAGAAGCTTTTACACAGAGAAGTGATTACACAGAGAGCTTTTACACACAAACGCGTTGGCACACAGAAGCGTTTACACAGAAAAGCCTTTACACCGAGGAGCTTTTAGACACAAGGGCGTTTACACACAGAAGCTGTTACACACAGACGCTGTTACACAAAGAAGTTTTTACACAGAAGCTTTAACACACAGGCGCGTTTACAGACAGAAACTTTTACACAAAGAAGTCTTCACACAGAGAGCTTTTACACACGGAAGCTTTCACACACAGTCGTTTTTACACAGAGAAGCCTTTACACAGAGGTGCTTTTACACGCATGTGGGCTGAGAAACCAATCAATCGGCCAAGCCGCCGATTGTAGGCTGGCCGCCAGTGACGGCACCCACACGCAGGGGGCCCCTGGCTGTGGCTCCCCCTGCCTCCAGGACGTGGAGGCAGGGGGCAGCCAGAGGCCCCCTGGTTCGCGCAGCCAGAACTGTGTCCATCCGTCCTCTGTCGGCTCCACGGAATGCTTGTCCTGCGCCGTTCAGTCAGCTTGAATCTAAGGCAATTGGAGCATCTGCGGTGCTAGTCTACCCCGCTCCTCCTCGTTCAAATTGTTGTGAAGAGCGAGGTTTTCCTCTGTGAGTGGGCCTTGGCATGTGAGTAGCAATTTTGGTGGTTGCACACAATCAAATAATACCTATATAAATAAATCACAACTGGATTGGGGATGACAAAGAACAACCATTGAATCTGAATGCTTCAGCGTGTTTTCCCTGTCCATCCTGCTAGACCGTCACATTTTGGGTGCGTTTGTCTTGCAGTCCTGACAGTCCTGGGTAAAAAAACTTATGTCGTTCTAAATATTGGGGCCTTTTGGTCCCAGAAATTGACTTCTGTTGCATCTTTTGGGTTGAAAATAGAACTTTTGGGTGTGTACAGCTATTCATTTTCCAATAGTGTAGGACTTGAGCAAAATAGGTCCTAGTTAATATTTGGGACCTTATGGGCCAGACAAACATCAAAATGAGCCTCCTCCTTTTCCAAAGCAAAGCCACAGATCTTCACATCGTGGTCCGCCTGCAAATCACTCCGGATACCCATCTTTTTCCCCACATTGACGTGTGGGGTTTTTGTCTTTAGTTCTGTATCTGCTCCTCCTCCTCCCGTCCTCCCATCATCTCACTGCTCACTCTCACTCACTCACTCACACTCACTCACACTCACTCACTCACCCTCTCACTCACTCACTCACACTCACCCACCCACCCACTCACTCACTCACTCACACTCTCACTCACTCTCACTCACTCACTCACTCACACCCTCACTCACACTCACTCACTCTCACTCACTCACTCTCACTCACTCACTCACCCTCTCACTCTCTCACTTCACTCACTCACTCACTCACTCACACTCACTCACTCACTCACACTCTCACTCACTCACACTCACTCACATCACTCGCTCCGCTGCTTTTGCGTGGCAGGCGTGGACTGCCAGGGGGTCGGATGTACGCCCTGGCGTCCCTCTGGCGTTCCTTGGGCTCCGCCGCTTTTGCGTGGCAGGCGTGGGACAATGTCAACTGCCAGGGGGTTGGATGTACGCCCTGGCGTCCCTGCCGTCCCTTGGGCTCCGCCGCTTTTGCGTGGCAGGCGTGTTGTGGGCAATGATGCATAGAGATTTCTCGCGTTTGACTGCTAAATTTTCGTCAGCTTTGTCCAAATTTAACGCGACTTGTTGACCTCGCTGACCAGGAGAAAAAACGTATAGCTCTTCAGAAGCAGGGCACGGCGATGCATCAACTCAGCTCATTCAGATTGGTTGCTTGTCAGCTTCTCATGGCTTGTTTATTCATGCCTTGTCTGCTCAGGTCATGCTCTTCAGAAGCAGGGCACGGCGATGTATCAACTCAGCTCCTTCAGATTGATTGCTTATCAGCTTATCATGGCTTCTTGTCTGCTCAGGTCATGATGCTGGTCTATGGCACTTGGACCACTCACTCTCACTCACTCACTCGCTCACTCACTCCCTCTCACTCACTCACTCACTCACCCTCTCACTCTCACTCTCACTCTCACTCTCACTCTCACTCTCACTCTCACTCTCACTCCACTCACTCACTCCCTCCCTCCACTCACTCACTCACTCACCCTCTCACTCTCACTCTCGCTCTCGCTCTCACTCTCACTCTCACTCTCACTCTCACTCACTCACTCACTCACCCACCCACCCCCACCCACTCACTCACTCACTCACTCACCCTCTCACTCTCTAACTCCACTCACTCACTCACTCAGTCACACTCACTCACTCACACTCACTCACTCGCTCACTCTCACTCACTCACTCACTCTCCCTCACTCACTCACTCACTCTCACATCCCTCACTCACACACGCCACACTCACATTACTCACTCACACTCTCACTCTCACTCTCACTCTCACTCTCGCTCTCACTCTCGCTCTCACTCTCACTCTCACTCTCACTCTCACTCTCACTCTCACTCCACTCACTCACTCCCTCCCTCCACTCACTCACTCACTCACCCTCTCACTCTCACTCTCACTCTCACTCTCGCTCTCACTCTCACTCTCACTCTCACTCTCACTCACTCACTCACCCACCCACCCACCCACTCACTCACTCACTCACTCACCCTGTCACTCTTTAACTCCACTCACTCACTCACACTCACACTCACTCACACTCACTCACTCACACTCACTCACTCGCTCACTCTCACTCACTCACTCTTCCTCACTCACTCACTCTCACATCCCTCACTCACACACGCCACACTCACATCACTCACTCACACTCTCACTCACTCACCTGTCTCTCACTCACTCACCTGTGCATGCACACACATACACACACACTAGATAAGAATGGATCATTGTAGTGATCCGGCAGGAACTGAATCCTGTAACGTGCAGATTGGATGGGAAACAAATTAATCCACAAACGGTCGAACCACTGCAGGTACGTCAAAGGGACGTCTCCCTTCGATATCACTGTGACTTCTGGCCGTCTTCGTTGGCACAGGAACCAGAGCCACACCTGTGCCCCCTGCATTAGTATTAGGATTAGAAAGGGAGAGGACAGAAGAAGAAAAAAAGAGAGAAGTTTTACATCTATTTAGATGTTACACACACACACCCGGCCGGAGCCGGGTCAACCCTGAAAGGCAAAAGGAAGAAAAAGGCGAACACAGACGACGGGCAGAAGGCCAGAACAGCGCAGGGGGGGGAGGGGAACAAACGGACCTCCAAAACCAACCTACACGGCGAAACGGACCTGACCAAAACAGCGCACACACCTAAACCCTACGACACATTAAGGAGAGGCACGCGGGGAGAATTAGGGACCAAATGGGGGACTAGTTGATGACAAACAAAAACAAAACAATTATATAATTAAACAACAGGACTCAGTTCCTAACTACCTGAAGGTCGTGCGTTATTCCCTTTCCGGGACCGTGGTCAAGTCTTGCCCCAATTGGCATAAACGGCTTTCAAGTTCCAACGAATTAGGTGCACAATATGTTTCACCTCACCAGATACCAAAGAGACCACACCTGCAGGAAAAGGACATGCCTGTTGCCTTCATTTCCTCGTACCATGTATCATGTCAAAATCTGAAGCTGCAGGTACAAAAAGTGAAGTTTCTGACTGTTCGGATCGGCTTCACTCCGATAGACAAGCATTTCGGCGAGGAACCCTGGGCAGCGGGACAACCCTAAAAGGCTGGAAAACCGCAAGGCCACCTGTTTCACTTTACTTAAACGAATTACCAGATTAAAATGTGTGAATTCGGTATTCAAGTCAGTCGACGCTCACCCCAAACAGGGTTGCCTCACTTGGCCCTATGGCACCATGTCGGAGTCACCATAGGAATCACACTAGATAAGAATGGATCATTGTAGTGATCCGGCAGGAACTGAATCCTGTAATGTGCAGATTGGATGGGAAACAAATTAATCCACAAACGGTCGAACCACTGCAGGTACGTCAAAGGGACGTCTCCCTTCGATATCACTGTGACTTCTGGCCGTCTTCGTTGGCACAGGAACCAGAGTCACACCTGTGCCCCCTGCATTATTTAAGAAGGGAGAAGAGGGAAGAAAAAAGAAAAAGAAGGAAGTTTTACATCTATCCAGATGTTACACACACTAGATTAGAATGGATCATTTGAGTGATCCGTCAGGAACTGAGTCCTGTAACATGCAGATTAGATTAGTTACTTAGAAAAGGATGAAGTTATATATATATGGGACTGTGGTGACCACCAGCTGCGTCTTACATGCGCCCAGGTGCGTCACCACAGTCCCGCGGGTACGTTTGCACGGGTCCCGGGGAGGTGTCTTCGTTGATCACCGACCCCCCCGGGACCCCGGTGATCCCCCGCATATATATATATATAAAGTAAAAGAAGTTTTACATCTATACAGATGTGTCACACACTAGACAAGAATGGATCATTATATGATCCGGCAGGAACTGAGTCCTGTAACATGCAATTAGATTTGTTTAGTTACCTAATTAAGGATGAATATAAATGTATATATATATATAGGACTACGGTGGCCACCAGCTGCGTCTTAGAATTGCGCCCAGGTGCACCACCGAAGTCCTGCGGGTACGTTTACACGGGTCCCGGGGAGGTGTCTTCATTGGTCACCGACCCCCCCGGGACCCCGGTGACCCCCCGCTTATAGATGTATATTAATAGAAGTTTTACATCTGTACAGATGTGTCACACACACACCCTGCCTTTGGCAGGGTAGTGCGACGGAAGATGAGGTGAAGATGAAGATGAGGGGGAAGTGAAGGTGAGGTGACCTTGAAGATGAGATGAAAAATTACTTAACCAGGACGCGAAGAGGGGAACGCAAAAGAAGAAGGAGAGAACACCAACACGACACACCTGGCCCGGAGCGGGCAAACCCTGGAAAGGCAAGGGGAAAGAAGAGCGGAGGGTCGACGGACACGGAACAAGACCAGCGGAGGGGGGGGGAGGACGAAAGCGCCTGAACCAACCTGGCACAGCGAAAACCTACAAACACCTCAGCACGCGACGGAGCCAACCTACCTGGGGAGGGAAGAACACATGAGATAGGGGACCAATGGGGATTAGTTGATGAAACCACAAAATTAAAACAGGATTCAGTCCCAAAATTCCTAAATGTCGTGCGATTGTTCCCTGCACCGGGACCGTGGTCAAGTCTTGCCCCAATTGGCATAAAACAGCTTTCAAGTTCCAACGAATTAGGTGCACAATATGTTTCACCTCACCAGACAACCACAAGAAAAGAGACCACACCTGAAAGTCGTGTGCCTGCGTAAGTGGGGACGACAAGAACGGCGGGACTTCGTGAAAAAGGCGCATAACAGTAAGGCCAGCTGTTACACTTTACTTAAACGAATTACCAGATTAAATTGTGTTAATTCGGAAGTCAATTCAGTCAACATTGACCCCAACTGGGGTTGCCTCAATTGGCCCTATGGCACCATGTCGGAGTCACCATAGGAATCACACTAGACAAGAATGGATCATTATATGATCCGGCAGGAACTGAGTCCTGTAACATCCAATTAGATTTGTTTAGTTACCTAATTAAGGATGAATATAAATGTATATATATATATAGGACTACGGTGGCCACCAGCTGCGTCTTAGAATTGCGCCCAGGTGCACCACCGAAGTCCTGCGGGTACGTTTACACGGGTCCCGGGGAGGTGTCTTCATTGGTCACCGACCCCCCCGGGACCCCGGTGACCCCCCGCTTATAGATGTATATTAATAGAAGTTTTACATCTGTACAGATGTGTCACACACACACACACAAACTCACCCACCATCACCCCTCCATCACTCTCATACTTCCTCTTCCCTTCTTGCTTTTCTATGCTCAGTCTAAGTCTAGAGAAGTTGGTAACATGTGGGGTTATCCGGTCCTGTTTTTTTTAAAGAATCAGTCAAGATATCATGGTTTGGGGGTCACAAATACAGTACCTGGAGTTCTCTGTATGTAGGAAGTTGAACCCTACAGTTCTGGTGGCCATTGCAATGAACTGTATGTAAGTTTCGCATTGA